GCATAGTCCAGTTCTGTGGCTCCAAAAAGCAGGCAAAATGTTCAGGAAAACGTCGCAGCTCCAGCTGTCGCCGGCTGACTGTTATTACGTAGCGTCTCTGTTTTCTCATTGATGGAGTACCACTGCCTCCTGCTGGTGCAATACTGGTATTGCACTAGCAGTACCAGTACTTCGCCACAAGGTGCCAGCGGTACTCCATCAACACTGACCCCAGTGTGTTCTTACTTCGCTGTGTGTTAAGTTTTGCTGAATGACTTTGTTTGTATTATATCTAGCAAATGAATGAATGTTTGTACTTTAACCCACAAAATAAACTTGTATATATATAAAAAGTTATAATAATGTATATTTAAATAATTAATAACAACATAACCTATGGGCTGCTGTTTTCTAGGGGCGCTATAGAGAAATTAGGCCACGCCCTACAAATATTGTGATGGATTCCAGTCGGGGAGCGGATAAATATTCATCCTTGTGAGTTTGCAGCAGCTGAGCCCGAAAATGTGGTATTGAGAGCCAAACGTATGGTGATGGCGTTACAGGTAACTTCGCCACGCCGCCATGCCCACCTGCTCTATCGTAGCTGGTCGGGGTTGGAATCCTCAATACACCAACATGTCTTCGGTGTCTGGGCACAGTTTCATGTTGATGAGGTCAAAGGGGTCAGATAGCGAACATTCACAGTAAAACATTACACTTCCTGTTCTCAGGGGGCGTGGCCTAAGTGATGTCATCATTCGACCATAGGGTATTGTAGGAGACCCGATGATGATCAATCACTCAAACTTTGGTGCCTCTGTGAGTTTCTGTGTAGGAGATATAGCAGTTTATTTTTTTGCGGCGAGTAGGTGAACTTTGACCCTGCTAACCCCCCTTCAGCATACTCAAAAACTCACCGTTTAGATAACTTTAGATGAGACATGCCTTATGAACAGACTGACCGAGTTTGAAGCCGATCAATCAAAATCCCTAGGAGGAGATAGATCAAATATGAAGGCTGTAAACGGCAAAAATGGAGTAAAAAACCGAACTTGAATCCAAAATGGCCGACTTCCTGTGGGGTTTAGACCATGGCTCCAAGAGACTTTTTTGTATGTCCTGACAAGGTACACATGTGTACAAAGTTTCGTATTTGTAGGTTAAAGCATGGCTTGGGGCTGATCATTTAAAGTTTTCTAGGGGGCGCTATAGAGAAATTAGGCTACGACCAACAAATATTGTGATGGATTCCTGTCGGGGAGTGGATGAAGATCCATCCTTGTGAGTTTGCAGCAGCTGGGCCTGAAAATGTGGAATTTAGAGCCAAACGTATGGCGATGGCGTTACAGGTCACTTCGCCACGCCACCACGCCCACCTGCTCCATCGTAGCTGGTCGGGGGTGGAATCCTCAATACACTAACATGTTTTCTGTGTCTGGGCACAGTTTCAGGTTGATGAGGTCAAAGGGGTCAGATAGTGAACATTCACAGTAAAACATTACACTTCCTGTTCTCAGGGGGCGTGGCCTAAGTGATGTCATCATTCGACCATAGGGTATTGTAGTAGACCCGATGATGATCAACAACAGTAATTTTGGTGCCTGTGTGAGTTTCTGTGTAGGAGATATAACAGTTTATTTTTTTACGGCGAGTAGGTGAACTTTGACCCTGCTAACCCCCTTCAGCATACTCAAAAACTCACCGTTTAGATAACTTTAGATGGGACATGCCTTATGACAGACTGACCGAGTTTGAAGCCGATCATCAAAATCCCTAGGAGGAGATAGATCAAATATGAAGGCTGTAAACGGCAAAAATGGGCTCAAAATCCGAACTTCTATCCAAAATGGCCGACTTCCTGTGATACTTGCACTATGACATTAATTGTAAATTTGAGCGTCTTGGGGAGCTCTACAAGTGTACCAAATTTCATGTCTCTAGGATAAAGTAAGTGAATAGCAAAGGGTCCTTTGAAAATTTCAAGGTGGCGCTCTTGAGCCGTTTCTTGTGCGATTTTTGCAATGACCTTAAAATACAAAATTTTTAAACTCCCTTTATGCGTCCGCCCAAGTTTGGTGAGTTTTTGAATAGGATAAAGCCCTCAAAAAGCCAATTCATTTGGGTGGAAGAATAATAAGAATTAAAGCTGCAAGCAGCCGAACGGCCCTCGCAGCCAAGCGCCGCTCCGCCTATTGCCACCGCGGGGTACTAGCAACCGTCGCCTCACGCCAGCCACCACAGAAGCTCTCACGCAGTTTCAGCTCCTGCGCCCGCACCGCGGAAGCTGTTGCTCAGTTTCCATCAACGCTGGCCACGTGCTAACACAGAAGTTGTTGCGCAGTTTCCACGCCCGTCCACCAGGCGGTACGCACTGATGCGTTTGGAGGCGCTCCTTGACGATGCAAAAAATGTGGTGCAGATTCATTGGTTTAGCGAGGAAATATAGCTGGCGGATTAATGTAGGACGCGCAGTGGAGCCAAAATATATTTCAATGCTGTTGTTCTCTTTAGAGGTCAACAAAGGTCATACGTATCCAATTTGGCGTCAGTCGGAAGATCCACGTGTAATTTACAGCCGATCATATGCACATGGCGAAGTACTACAGTTCGTCATTTTTCATCATTTTCAGCTGTGTTTCTAAAGCACTCTATTTCATTGTTGGAGTAATTCTTACTGAATTACTGAAATGGTTTGTAAGAAGTAAGAAAAACTACATTTACTGCATGATTTAATTCAACAAAAATTATCTGAGACATTTCTATCCTTTAGAAATTTCATGGCAACGCTCTCACAAAGTTTTCGCGCCCATCCGCCCATGGATCTGTCATTGGTGGAGGAACACTGACACCTACTGGCGAAATACTGATATTGTTCTTCATCCTGTTTATCTGCTGTTTCATTTGTGGAGCAATACTGACCCCAAGTGGCGAATTACTGACATGGTTTATAAACACCAAAATAGGATCAAAATCTGAACTTCAATCTAAAATGGCCGACTTCCTCTGGGGTTTAGACCATGGCTCCAGAGACTTTTTGTACGTCCTGACAAGGTACACATGTGTACAAAGTTTCGTATTTGTAGGTTAAAGCATGGCTTGGGGCTGATCATTTAAAGTTTTCTAGGGGGCGCTATAGAGAAATTAGGCTACGCCCACCAAATATTGTGATGGATTCCTGTTGGGGAGTGGATGAGGGTCCATCCTTATGAGTTTGCAGCAGCTGGGCCCGAAAATGTGGAATTGAGAGCCAAACGTATGGCGATGGCGTTACAGGTGACTTCGCCACGCCACCACGCCCACCTGCTGCATTGAAGCTGGTCGGGTTAGAATCCTCAATACACCAACATGTTCTCTGTGTCTGGCACAGTTTCATGTTGATGAGGTCAAAGGGGTCAGATAGCGACAGTTCACAGTAAAACATTACACTTCCTGTTCTCAGGGGGCGTGGCCTAAGTGATGTCATCATTCGACCATAGGGTATTGTAGAAGACCCGATGATGATCAATCACAGAAACTTTGATGCTTCTGTGAGTTTCTGTGTAAGAGATATAGCCAGTTTATTTTTTTATGGCGAGTAGGTGAACTTTGACCCCTGCTAACCCCCCTTCAGCATACTCAAAAAACTCACCGTTTAGATAACTTTAGATGGACATGCCTTATGAACAGACTGACCGAGTTTGAAGTCGATCAATCGAAATCCCTAGGAGGAGATAGATCAAATACAAAGGCTGTAAATGGCAAAAATCGGCAAAAATGGGGTCAAAATGGGAACTTCAATCAAAAATGCTGACTTCCTGTGATACTTTGCACTATGACATTAATTGTAAATTTTGAGCGTCTTGGGGAGTTCTACAAGTGTACCAAATTTCATGTGTCTACGATAAAGTAAGTGAATAGCAGAGGGTAAAAAAGTGTGTTTTTCCAATTTCTAGGTGGCGCCGTAGAGACATTTCTGTTGCAATTTTTGCTACGACTTTAAAATACGTAAATTTTAAACAGGCTTAAGGCCTCCGCCAAGTTTGGTGAGTTTTTGAATATGATAAAGCCCCAAAAAGCCAATTCATTTGGGTGGAAGAATAATAATAATAATAAACAATAGGAAAACAATAGGCCTTCGCAGCGCTTAGCTGCTCGGGCCTAATAAGAAACAGTAGGAAAACAATAGGCCTTCGCAGCGCTTAGCTGCTCGGGCCTAATAATAAACAATAGGAAAACAATAGGCCTTCGCAGCGCTTAGCTGCTCGGGCCTAATAAACAATAGGAAACAATAGCCTTCGCAGCGCTTAGCTGCTCGGCCTAATAAACAATAGGAAAACAATAGGCCTTCGCAGCGCTTAGCTGCTCGGGCCTAATAAGAAACAGTAGGAAAACAATAGGCCTCGCAGCGCTTAGCTGCTCGGGCCTAATAATAAACAATAGGAAAACATAGGCCTTCGCAGCGCTTAGCTGCTCGGGCCTAATAACAATAGGAAAACATGGCCTTCGCAGCGCTTAGCTGCTCGGGCCTAATAATAAGAAACAGTACAGAAACAATAGGCCTTCGCAGCGCTTAGCTGCTCGGGCCTAATAATAAGAAACAGTACAGAAACAATAGGCCTTCGCAGCGCTTAGCTGCTCGGGCCTAAATATTTCTCTTTATTAATAAGTATATTTTTAATTTCATTGTAAGCAGAATCAGATCCTCCCAAAAGCAGAATTTATTTTCCCAGATTTTTATTTATTTGTTGAACATGAAGTTACTCAAATCATGTTTTTATTGCTGAAAACACGATTAAATACTCAACATGTTCACCGATTTACTATTTTTGCCTTCTGTAAGGTGAGAGTCTCAAATCAAAAGTGTCATTACTATTATGAAAACAGAAAATCATTTTTCTTCCTTTAATAAAGCAAATATACATTCCCTTAACAAAGACTTTTCACTTTATAAAAAAGACAATAAGAATCTGCGTCCAGTGAGTTAAACCAGGAGATCTGTAGAAAATCGTGGATTTATTCTTCAACCAAAACATCCAGAGAAACTCAGTTTCCAAGGTGACAGACAGGTGATGGAGGCCAGGAGGAGCAGCTGGACACACCTGGACGCCTGCAGCTCCAGGATCTGGTTAAAGTTTCTTTGTCTGGATTTGCTGCAGCCTCACCTGAGTGACATCACGCTGGGGGCGGGGCTTAACTAGAGCAGCGCAGGTAAAAGCAGCAAACACACCTGCACAGGAGCACCTGTGAGTTCCTCTCAGCCAATGAGAAGCCAGCAGAGAGCAGAAGTGCAGACTGAACTTCAGGCTCTCATCTCCGATTGGCTTTAATCATGTTACAGTGTTTTTCCTGCTGGAAGCCGATTGGTCGGTCTGAGTTCGAGGCCTTTTGCTCTGCGGCTGTTCTGATTGGTCCGCGTCCCTGAAGCCCTGGCAGGTGATCTGGTATTGGACGCTGGAGTCCATGTGACCCGGGATTTGACGATGGAGGCCATGCGCCGTGACTCCTCCCACCGGAGGAGGAGCCTGACGGAGGGGGCGTGGCCCCAGATGTCGCCGAGCGCCGGCGCCGGCCGCGCCCGGCCGCCGCGCAGCCTCGTGGTGGTGTGGTTGGTGGTCACCACGGCGATGTTGTGGCCCGTCGCCGCGGCGATAAGCCGCAGGCCGACGCCCTGGAGGAGGCGTGTCCTCCGGGACAGATCGTCATGGAGACGCAAGAACGGGAACGCCACGCTGTCCACGACGAGGAGGCGGAGCCTCGGCCGGTCCGACAGGAAGTCGGGCAGCAGACGCAGCTCGGCCAGCAGCTCCACGTAGTCACGGCAACGCACCTGAGAACACAGCCAATCAGAGCCCTGCTGCCGCAGGGTTACCACGGCAACAGCATCTCCCGAAGGCGGAGGCCGATTACAGGAACCGGGTCCATCAGAACCAGAACCAGAACCAGCAGAACCAGGAAACCCACCAGGAAGACGTTTGACAGGATGGTCTCCACGGTGAAGGTCGCCATGGCAACACGCTGCTCCTCATCCTCAGCCAGCAGCGAGAAGCGGCGCACGGCGGCGCCGGCCAGGTCCACCAGCCTCTGGACCCGGAACCCCGCCCTCCGTGTCCACGAACAGAACCTGACCCCCGAGACCGCCGAACACCGCCGGCACCTGGACGTCCACGGCCAGCTGCAGGCTGGGCAGAACCAGAACCAGAACCAGAACCAGAACCAGTCAGAACCAGAACCAGGACCGGTCAGAACCAGAACCAGAACCAGTCAGAACCAGAACCAGGACCGGTCAGAACCAGAACCAGAACCAGTCAGAACCAGAACCAGAACCGGTCAGAACCAGAACCAGAACCAGGACCAGTCAGAACCAGGACCGGTCAGAACCAGAACCAGAACCAGTCAGAACCAGAACCAGAACCAGGACCGGTCAGAACCAGAACCAGAACCAGGACCGGTCAGAACCAGAACCAGAACCGGTCAGAACCAGAACCAGAACCAGGACCGGTCAGAACCAGAACCAGAACCAGGACCGGTCAGAACCAGAACCAGGACGGTCAGAACCAGAACCAGAACCAGGACCGGTCAGAACCAGAACCAGAACCGGTCAGAACCAGAACCAGAACCAGGACCGGTCAGAACCAGAACCAGAACCGGTCAGAACCAGAACCAGGACCGGTCAGAACCAGAACCAGAACCAGTCAGAACCAGAACCAGAACCAGGACCGGTCAGAACCAGAACCAGAACCAGAACCAGTCAGAACCAGAACCAGAACCGGTCAGAACCAGAACCAGAACCGGTCAGAACCAGAACCAGGACCGGTCAGAACCAGAACCAGAACCAGTCAGAACCAGAACCAGAACCAGGACCGGTCAGAACCAGAACCAGAACCAGGACCGGTCAGAACCAGAACCAGAACCGGTCAGAACCAGAACCAGAACCAGGACCGGTCAGAACCAGAACCAGAACCAGGACCGGTCAGAACCAGAACCAGGACCGGTCAGAACCAGAACCAGAACCAGAACCAGGACGGTCAGAACCAGAACCAGGACCGGTCAGAACCAGAACCAGCAGCTTAAACTGGTCTAAGGTTTCTTTCCGAACCGGTTCCAGATTTGAAATGAACCCGTTTCTTCAGAGGAACCCGGTTCTGGGTCCAGTTTGTGGTGATGTTTCATACAGCAGCAGCGCCCCCCACAGGGCAGGAAGTGGTCATGCACAGAGGCCTCCAGACAGGATGTGCCCACGTTGGATCTGACCTCATGCCGCCATCACCTGCTGAGGCTCACAGGATGAACCCGATGGCTTCTGATTGGCTGCTTATCAGCCAATCACAGCTTGGGACACGGGACCAAAACATGGCGTCTTTAGGGACGAGTTGGGTGCAGAAATATTCAAATTAAATATTTCATCAAACTCTTCATTGACCTCTACCACCTATTGACCCCAATGACCCAATTAGTGACCTCAGCTGGCTCATTAATGACCTTAGCGACCCTAAGGTCATCAACTAATATATATACAATCTATTCTTCATATTCCTGTATATTCTGAATAATCTGTGTAATTTGTATAATATGTACATAGCTGTACAAAACATTTTATTTATCGCACATCAATATTATTCTCTGTTTATATCTTTGTACAACTGTTAATAATATTTATATCCTGTATAGCATTTCTGGATAGATGCAAACGACATTTCGTTGCTCAGTACATGTGACAATGCAACGACAATAAAGTTGAATCTATTCTATTCCAGTAGTGACCTTGGTGACCTCAGCCTGTGGGTGATTGTTGCCAGGCTGTTACTTCCAGCCATGTTCAGAACCGGAGACACGCTCCGGGTCATGAGGGAAACGCCTGTCATGACCCGCAGTGTGCGCCACCAGGTGTGTGTTTTCTGACCACAGCTGTGTTTTCCCAACTCCTGGAGCTCCGCAGATCTCCGTCACTTTCCCGACAGGAACTCCTCCCCCGAGCGCCTCGTCCAGCCGGGAGCAGAACGTCACGATGCTCCTGAACTCCTCCTCCCTCTGCAGGAGCTCCAGCGCCGTCACGGGGCACCGCCCGCCCCGCGCTGGCAGCCTGCAGCGCCTCCAGCGCCTCCTGCTGGGACACTCCAGCCTCTGCACACATGACAAATCAGAGCAACATTTTACATTTCTGTAGTTAGAAAAAGCAGTGTGATGTCATTAAATAGCTTTAAATTACTTATTGAAAATAAATAGTAAGATGAAAATCTTATTTAAAAATTTAACTTTAGAGTAAAAACACATCTTTAATGTTCAATTTACATAATTAATTAAAATGCTCCTTTTTCTATAAAATTTTAATAATAAAAATATGAAACTATGAAACAGAACCAGAACCTCCAGTAATTAATCACAGTTTACTGTTTTTTATGCTTGATTATTATAAGAAGGATTTGTGGAAGGCAAGAAGGTGAAAAATGTCCATAATGATGATCAAAACATCAACAATAAACGTCTTTTTTTAATTATATTTTGCATAATTTTTTTGGAGTTAGGCATAAAAAAGTAAAAACATAAAAATAATATTTGACAGTAATAATTGATTGATCACATTTGATCCATTTTCTGATGGTGAATCCAATCACTGATCATTTCAGGTTTAATGATGAAGAAAAAAAAATCGTCTTTATCCATAAACTGGACCAATCACAGAACCAGAACCAGATATCAGTTATCAGAACCTGATATCTATAAACAGAAAAATATTTTCATTGAAAAATTATTGTAATTTTCTATAAAATATTTTCCAGAATTTCTGTCCCAGAACAAATTTAACCGAAACTTTATTTAGTTTCTACTTTAACAAAACCTAATTATGGATGAAAAGCAGTTTTAGCCTCAGTATGAAAAACGAGATGCCTCAAAGCATTATGACGTCATGAGATGACGCGATGGGCCGCTCTACCTGCGCTCAGGTGTTCCGGGTTCAGGTCCTGCAGGTCTGTGGTGAACTGGAAACCAGCTCTCACCAGTTCCCCTTCAAACTGGAGCCCAAACCCAAACTGGAGACGGGCCTCCTCATCCTCACCGCGTTCACAGCAGCCCGCTTCCTCCCTGCACTTCCGCTTCCAGTTTTCAAAATAAAAGCCGCAGGAGTTCCGCTTTGCTGCTGAGTTCCGGGGTTTTGATTTTAAATCTGTTTAATTTCTAAAATATTTGGTTTGACATCTAACAAGGATAACAATTATAAATTGTAATTTTTGTGAAACATTTAAATTACTACAAAATTATCATGGATTAGATATTTTCTCTCATCTTTAAAAATTGAGACTTTTCTAAAGTGTCCGTTTGACTTTGAGCTGCTTCCCTCCACCAATAGAAAGAACTGCGCAGTTATCACAATAAAACTCAAATCAACAAAAGTGTGGAAACAAAGACAAAAACATTTATCTTTTATCCAGGTTACTCTGTTATCCAATCTTTTTTGAACCAAATCCTAGAAAGTGAAAAAAATATATGAATGAATTATATGAATAAAAAATAAAATATCAATATAGAAGAAACATGTGAAACTAAATGTAAACCTCATAAAACCAATATTGGCAGTAATGTATGTATTTTAGAACAGGATGAAGAACTTTCAGTTTAAATGTGTATTACTCACAGACGTAAAAAGCATTAAAAACAGTAAAACTATTCCTAAAAATCATTTTTCAACAGTAAATGTATCATCTCTGTATTAAACTGACGAGTTTAATTAATGTGCAGTTTTCCTGAATTCACATATTTTAAATATTACATATAAAACCACAACAATAAGAATTACTACAGAAAGGAAATTAAGTATTAAAATTATTTACTAAGCTTAATTTATTTTGAAAACACAACAGGAATCTACGTTGCAGCTTCAGTGACGTCAGTCGGACGCGACGGTCGTTCCATGTGAGTCCACATCGGTTTGTTGATGAAGGTTTGACCTGCGGCTGGTTGATCAGGTAAGATGATCAGTCATTATTGATCAGAAGCAGGCTGACCGCAGCAGAGGAAACCGGAAGCTTCCGGTTTCCGACAGGAAGTTGAGTTTGGAGGAAGCGCTGCAGGCTGAGGGTTCAACAGGACGTTTTACTGGATGTTGACTGGAAGGTTGTTTGTTCAAGTTTAAAAACTGATTTTATGATTTCTGGACGATCAGAGATCAATCAAAAGGTTTCTTAGTGTCTGGAATATTTACGCATCGTCCAGTTAAACTCAGGGTTTCCACCACCAGGCGGCGCTACTGAGATAATGACACTGATTTGATTGGACACATGGAGTCACATGTTCCTCTGCTTGTAGATCACAGAGATGAAGAGGCGAGAGGAAGAGGAGAAACAGAGGAAGACAACAGGCCAGAGTCCAGAGGAGGAAGAGGAGCAGAGGAGGATGAGCACTCAGAGCGAAGAGGAGGAGGAAGCAGCGAGTGAGCAGAAAGGAGCTTCAGCCTCTGCTGATGAGGCAAAGAAGGAGAGGAAGTGTGTTCCAGGTATCATCTACCTGGGCCACATTCCTCCCAGGCTCCGCCCCAAACACCTGAGGAACCTGCTGTCAGCCTACGGAGAGATCGGACGCATTTTCCTACAGCCAGAGGGTACGACACACACACACACACACACACACACACACACACACACACACACACACACACACACACACACACACACACACACACACACACACACACACACGCACATACACGCACATACAGTTTTACATCATCAGAACATCCTGCTGTTATCAACTATGAAACAAGAAATCAACATTACATTTCGTCAAACTCATAATCTAACATATTGATAAATTTCCAGTTATTGTGGATCACATCCTCCATCCAAGTGTTTTCTTTGTCTTGATTTAAATAAAATCAGTGTTTCAGCAGTTTTTTGGTTTTCTTCACTCAGCCACAATAATAATAAGTTCAGCTTCTGTTCAGCAGGAGAACGTTTTGTCATCTCCCCCTTCTCAGCTTCTGTGCAGTGATTGGATGGTTCAGTTACCTGGTAACATCATAATGTAGAGCTGTGTATCATATGCGTCGCCATGGTAACTAATTTTACCGTTATAACCTGAGCCAGTGGCAACCCAGATATTAAATAGGAAAGGCACCAGGATTGAGCCTTGGGGTTCCCCACATGTGATTTTTGCCCCTTTCATATCATGCTTCCTGTTGGTCACATTTTGCAAACATCAGTTTTCATGGTTATGTAGACGACACTCTGCTCTGCAGGCCAGAGATCAGCTCAGGTTTCCCCTCCACGTTACTTCAGATTAACAATCAGAAAGCAGAAGTTTGACTCGTTAACACCTCGCCTCCACTTTAACCAAACCTCTCAGTTTCTCCACTGTAGTCATAATTTTTCTCCTTGCAGGTGAATTATGCAGGTGCAGATCCATCTATTATTTGTTCCTCTGATGTAAAAGCCTGTTATTGCTGCAGCAGGTTCTGGTTGTTGTTCCTAACCTGGCTGCGTTGATCCCGCAGACCGCCAGGTGAGGAGGAAGAAGAAGAAGTCCGGCTCCAGGAGGTGTGACTTCACCGAAGGTTGGGTGGAGTTCAGGGACAAGCGGGTGGCGCGGTGGCGAAGCGGGTGGCGCTTTCCCTGCACAACACGCCTATGGGAACCAAGAAATGCCAGAGGTTCTTCTCTGACCTCTGGAACATCAAGGTACCGCCTGGTTCCCTCCTTAGTTCCCTCCCTAGTTCCCTCCCTAGTTCCCTGCCTGGAACTGGAAAAATCGACGACTGTCTGTCTCTGAAGTACCTGCACAGGTTTGGACTCATCTGAGCGAGCGTGGGCCTATGAGCAGACGGTGCTGCAGCAGAGACTCCGGGGCCGAAGTCTCTCAGGCCAAGAGGGAGACCAGCTTCTACCTGAACAACGTGGAGAAGAGCGCCCACCTGGAACACCTGAGGAAGAAACGGCAGAGAGACGGAGAACAGGTAGAGACAGACGGTCTGACAGACAGGTGAACATCTGAGACACAGACAGGTAAACCGTTGTGTTGTCCTCAGGTGGAGGAGAAGACATGGGACTTCACTCAGCGCCAGACAGATCCAGAAGAAGAAGAAGGACTCCATTACCCAGAAACGCCTGAATAAGGCCCGCCTCATGGAGCAGGAGAGCCAATCAAACGTCTCGTTACTGGCTAAGATCTTTAACTCCAAACCAATCAGAGTGAAACTCATGAACTTCTTTCTATGGGGACAGTAAACAGAAACGGACTCAAACACTTCCTGTTGTTGGGAAGGGCGGAGCCATTAGGTGGCTCCTCCCATTGATACTCCTCATGTTAAGATTGTTGTAAATAAAGTTTGTTGGACTTTGGTTTTGTGTGATAAAATATGGAGCCAGTGGTTTCCGTCCGGTCCGGTTTCAAGGTGAATCCAACCTGGAACATTTATACCGGCCTGCCTGCAGGGGGCGCCGGTCACTTCCGTTCACTTGTGTCACATCAACATGTTTGAGTCAAATATGATGACAGATGATCACAGATCATTGTGAAGATCCTTTTGACGCATAAATAATTTCTGTAGTTAAATTGAATAAAATACGAAAACTGTTTTATTTTTTATACAAACATTCTGTTGTGAAAACAAATATCTGTCATGTCTGGAAAAGCAAAACCAGAATTTCACCAACAACTTTATAAAGCTGAAGAAAACGAATCTGCAAAAAATGAAGTCATGATCTTAGAAAAACAAGGGATCTTGGGTTAGGGCTAGTACCTCCATTTGCTGACTTTATGAAGTTTCTAGATTGAAGACGGAAAACCAGTTTGTTTACAAACACGCAGGGGGCGGGGTGAGATGACGTCATGACGCAGGAGAGTAGGAACATGGCGGCGGATTACTGGGAGACGGAGCGACCCGAACCTCCTTCAGACTGAACCGAACCACGCAGAACCCGGGCCGGACCGGGTCCGCCTCTCACGGTAGGTACCGGGTGAAGGGTGGATGCACGGGACCCGGTTCCCTGGCCGTCCGGCCCGGCAGCCGTTACCGAACCGGCAGCCGTTACCGAACCGGCAGCCGTTACCGAACCGGGGCGCAGTAGGAACACGAAGCCCGCTGCAGGTGTTCAGGAGGTAGACGGAGCCGGGCTAGCAGGCTAACTGCGAGCAGCAGAATTAGGGTTCGGTTCGGTTCTGGGTTCCAAGCTGAAGAGGTTTTACCTGCAGCATCCGCTAATAATGAAGGAGCTAAATAAAAACATTTCGGAATAATTTATAAAAATATTCATTTCTGACTGAAACTGAATCACACGAAGCTTCCGGTACCAGGCTCGGTTCACTCAGAGTCCGGCCAGGTTCGGGACCTTCTGAAAGCAGCATCCACTGATCTGTGTCGTCATCCCGAAAGCTGTTGATTGATTGGCTGAGATGTTGACCTCAGCATCACAGGTCCATGACCGTGTTTTCACACAGAGTAACCATGAAACCTGGGCCAGCCTTACGGGAAGGATCAGGTCACCTGAGCTGTTTGGTGACATCACTTCCTGCTGGCCTGTTTCAGGGCTGCATAGGGTATCAGTAAATCTAACTCAGTTCTCGATAGTCGCTGAGCTGGGTTTTGGTGCTTACCCATGTGTTTACCTGTCCAGGTGTCTCCTGGTGGACGGCTCTGCCCCGTCTGCGTCTCGCCCGCCCCTGCCGCCCGGACCCCCCCTCATGGAGCGGATCAGGAAGCTCAAACGGCAGCTGTCTGTCACTCTGGGAAGGGGCGGGGCCGGCGGCGGGGCCAGCGACGGGGCCATCTGCGGCGGGGTCAGCGGCGGGGACCGGGCGCTGAACGACTCCAACACGCAGGAAGTGACATCACACAGCGATTCAGGTGACTTCCTATTCAGGACCAGCATTACATTCTGGTACCGAAGGATCCTGTTGGGACCAATCGGGTCTCTATGGCGGGCCTTAGATTATATATATAGACTAGTTTATAATCTGGGTTTAGCCCATGAATGAAGGGAAGCTAAAGAAAGATTCAGGATTCTAGATGCTTAACATCTAGATCTGATTTCCAGGGCGTCACTTCTAACACTCCATCTT